TGGGGGCGTTGTGCAGTCAGACAGGTCTAAGAACAGTTTCACACGTTAGAGCGTTGCCGTCATTCTTCAGTCTGTCTGACGGTCCGCCCCCGCACGCACACTGAGAGCTTTTAAGCCAAATTTGGCTTTCCTGAAACTAACTTAGAAGTTAAAGATGGAGCAAATTTGTGCCACGAGTGTCAAAAAAATGGAACTGAAAAAAAAACAAAAATATTGTTTTGGTACAGGTTTTCATACATCACTCCCCATCTGTCATTGGCTGGCAAACACATAGTCTTGCCCCCAACTCATGCCATTGGTTGTGTTGATATCGCTGTATTTGGCTGGTTGGGATGCTCAAACAAACAATATTTCAGAACTATTTACAGCTGTTTTATTATGTTAAATATTTTAACATGGAAAATAAGATTAGTTTAGGCAAAGATGCATTACTTTTGAATGCTGTATGCTGTTTATGGGACATAAAATTAGAAATTATGGAATAGAAATGGAGATTGAGACATACTGTTGCAATGAAAATAATTAATTGTGCTCATAAAGGCATATGTGTTGAACTAATAGTCATTTATTTCATGAAATCATTGCAAAATTGGAAGCAGAATACAGCACATAATTAAATACTGCATATTTAGTACTTTTTATAAGTTTGGTCTCAATAAGATTTGTTTAATGTTTTTAAAGAAAGGCTGTAGTTAGTTGATAAAAAATATATTAATATTACAAAGTATTTAATATAATTTATTCCTGTGATGCAAAGCTGCATTTTCAGCATCATTACATGTCATCATTACATGTCGCATGATCGTTCAGAAATCCTTCTAATATGCTGATTGCTGCATAAGAAACATTTCTTGTTATTAATATTCTTAATATTTCTGGGGAAACTGTGATACTTTTTCAGGATTTGTTGATTAATAGAAAGTTCAAGATGGAAATCTTTTGCAATATTATAAATGTCTCTACTGTCACTTTTGATTATGCAAATCTTCCATTTGATGACGTCTCAATTTTCAAATGTTGTATAGGGTGAACCAGGTTTAGATGGGTTTCCAGGGAAACCAGGTCTTCCAGGAAAAGACGTATGTATTCAGAGCATTTTATAATGTATATAATTTGTCACGTATCGTTTTGCGCAGCATGTATGTACACTGGATGTAGAAGATATTAATGTGAGCTTATGTCATGTTTTGCTTAGGTCAAGTAAGTATACATTTTACCTAAATGACTTCTCTCTCTTTCATTTTCTCTGAATCCAGGGTCATAGGGGGCTGATTGGTGCTCCTGGTCCAAATGGAGGACAAGGAGAAAAGGTATAGGGACACTTTTTTGGAGACGCATGTTGCTTGGCTTTGAAAGATCTGGGCAAGTCTTTTATTCACCCTCACTTTGTTCCAAACCCATAGTCCTTTTGTATATCTTCATAGTTCACCCAGATATATTTCCCACAAAACCCTCAAAACACATATATCTTTCTTGGAAAATTATAGTTTTGTATCACATATTTGTATTTCTCAGGCTCATCCACAAAGACGCCCATTCAAAAATTCAGCCAGTCTGTGTCTGTATTTTATCTCTCGCTCTCTGTCCCGCACACTTTCAGAAACTCATTCCCAAAGGAAATGACAAATAGTACTCTATCAGATGTTGTAACTCACAGCACAGACAATTCCACTCTGGTTCAACTCCACCCAGAATATCAAATCACTGTGGGATTTTAACTACTCAGTAAATCTTGTCAGCCGCTGTTTAATAAAAGGGGTCATATGACATTGCTAAAAAGAACATTATTTTGTGTATTTGGTGTAATGCAATGTGTTTATGCAGTTTAAGGTTCAAAAAACACATTATTTTCCACATACTGTACATTATTGTTGCTCCTCTATGCCTTTCTGAAACGCGTCGATTTTTTCAAAGCTCATCGTTCTGCGTATACATTTGGGCGGTGTTATGCAAATCTTCCTACACAGTGACGTAGACATGTGGGGGCGTGTTTAAACGAGGCATTTTAGGAGGGCGTGGCTGACTCTTAACTTTTATAAAGAATATCTCTTTGGGTTTGAGACTTTAGTCTTTGCAACTTTAGGAATCTCATCTAGGCACGAACAGCTTGTAACACTCCAAAGAGAAAGGAAAACTTGAAATCGCATCATATGACCCCTTTAATAAACACTGTGTTTGCTGATAGGGTGAAAGAGGTCCTGGTGGATTACCTGGCGATGCGGTAAGACGTTTGATTTATTAATTGAATAAATCGTGTTGTAAAATAGCAGCATTGAGTTGCTCACGGCTTCATCTGTGTTTTTCCTCAGGTTCAGCTGGCAGGACTCAAGGGGGAGACTGTAAGTGTGCAATCTGTTGAGAAGATGAGTCTTAAACTTCGCTTTTGTTGAGCATTCTCTGTGTTTGTGTTTTCAGGGCGTCCCTGGTGAACGAGGGCCCTCGGGAACGGACGGCCCACCTGGACCTCCTGTAAGACATATTTTGTCATGTAACGCTTGTTTTAAAAATGCACATTGAAGAAGAAAAGTGAAGTTAGTTTTGAAAAAAGCTGGTTGCCTGATCCATTCCTCCCATCACATTTTAAAGTAAATCAATTTAAGAAAATGGTTGGCATTATTGCGCTATTTTAATAGGTTGAAAATGATGTAGTTAGTGTAATTCTGTTCAATTCTGTGTTTGTGGCAATGTGTAAGCACTTATGTGGATGTATTTATAGATTTACACGACACATTTAGAACAGAATGGACAATAAAGTTAAACTCAAACTCCAGATACTTTTTGGGGTCACTGTACATCATAAAATATCACATTCACGGTCTGTTTATGAAAATAAGAAGCATCATATTTTCTGTGTCTGCTACTGTTGTGGACTTCATTGTTTTTAATGAGCCTATTGCTTATGCTGTTTTTCCTCAGGGCCCACCTGGACCTCCAGGTTTGGCCGGTGAGCCGGGTGAGAATGGACAAAGGGTAGGACATTTGTATTTTATTGAAACAATCCATCTCGGCTGCTTTTAATGGAGATTTAAGATGTTCTAGAACCTGATCTGTGGTAACCATAGAGACTGGCTGGAAAGCGCGGCTCTCAGTGCATGTTCTGGTGTTTTTGAGTGCTCTGTGGGGTCAGATTAAAGTGAGGAGCTCGTTAGGAAGAGAGACAGGAGATGTTCAAATGGCCTGACACTCTCAGATGCCCTCCAGTTGATGAGATGACAGCATCATTAAAATGTTCTCGGAATACTTGGAAAACATTGTTTCTTGCCAAAAAAATATAATGGCATTTGAATAACAGCTCTAAAAAGGAAGAATCAAGCAAACAGAAAGAGTATAGTTCTTAAATGAAAATTCTGTCATTATTTATTCATCATTCATGTTGTACCAAATCAATATGACTTACTTCTTTCTGTGATCCACAAAATATGTTTAGCATAGTGTTGTTTCCGTTAACTAAAGCTGTTTAAAACAGTTTTGTTAATTGAAATAAAATAAAATATAAATACTAAATGGAAAAACTCTGTAAATAAAAATTAGAAATTAAAGAATTTCTCTCTCTTGCTTTCTCTCTCTCTCTCTCTCTCTCTCTCTCTCTC